AAGCGCTATGATGAAACTGGCTCACACAAGGACCGCCCCAGGAAAGGAAGACCAAGATTCACCTCTGCTGCTGAGGATAAAGTCATTCGAGTCACTAGCCTCAGAAACCACAAGTTAACAGCACAACAGATTAGAGCAGATAAATGCCACATAGAGTTCTACTAGACACATTTCTACGTCAACTGTTCAGGCAAGACTCAATCAGGCCTTTAGGGTCAAACAGCTACTAAGAAAAGCAACAAGCAGAAGAGATTCGTTTGGGCCAAGAAACATAGGGAATGGACATTAGACTAGAGGAAATCTGTGCTTGGTCTGGTGAGTCCAAATTTGAGATCCAAATTCAAGATCTTTGGTTCCATCTTTGGGTGACGCAGAAAAGGTGAACAGATCATCTCCACATGCATGGTTTCCATCGTGAAGTACGGAGGAGGTGGTGTGATGGTGTGTGGGTGCTTTGCTGGTGACACTGTTGGAGATTTACTCCAAAATTAAGGCACACTGAACCAACTTGGCCACCACAGCATCCTGCAGCGACATTCCATCCCATCTGGTTTACATTTGGTAGGACCAGCTGATCTAAACCAATTAAGATGGTTTGGGATGAAATGGACCGCAGACTGAAGGCAAAAAGGCCAACACATGTTCAGCATCTCTGGGAACTCCTTCAAGACTGTTGGAAAACCATTTCAGGTGACTACCGATCATTTCACAACATTTCAAGGAAATTTGCAATAAAGATATAAATTATATTATGTTTTATCAGTGATTGCAGCTTGCAGGCAGAAGATTTATTAGTTAAAACAAAATGCATTGCCTTTTCCATCTTTGTTTTTCCAGTGACAACCTAATTCAAAGTGTGAATTTATTGCCACAAGGTGCTAGCAGTACCAATGCAACCATAACGACAGCATTATATCCAGAGGATAAGTCAAATGTAAGTGCAAAAGCAGCCCAGGTAGTGTATTCCTTGTAACTCAAAGTAAAAGTATAACTTAACAATTTTTAATTTAACATAAAAAATAAATAAATAACAACCTTGCAACTCTTTAGGAGCCACATAATAAGATTCAAATCTAAAAATCTTGTTCCCACCTTTAGCAGAAATTTAGCAGAGTACTGTGCTTTGTTGAACGCTGTTAAATTAGGAGGCTGGCATGTGGCTGAGACATGCTTGGCTTTGTCTCATTGTTTTGCCCACTGAGAAACATAAACGCATGGCTCCAACGAATCATTGATATCATGATTTAACACTTTTATAAAAATTTATATTGGTATTATTGTGAATGATATGATGGGGCACACACCCTTTTAGTTCTGCATATCGGACTAGTATTCTGGCGTAGGTGGCATTTTTGCTGTATTGTCTGACTGGCAGCTTGAAGAAGACTTTAGAGTAACAGTCCTTGAGCTTATTCAGAAGGTTGATGTCTGTGTGAGGGTTCCCTCTCTTCTCCAGGTTAGTCAGGAATGCCCAACATGACTCGGGAGAGTTGGAATTGACGACCTGATCGAAATTGTAGGTTACATCTGCTAGAAAGGAAAACAGTCATGAAAACAGAGAAGGGGACACAGTGTCTTTCATTCACACAACTATAGAAAATAAGATTCCACATGGAAATATGTAATGTAGTACCTTCCATTCTTGAGGCGTTCTTTGTGTAACATGTGTGAAGGAGAGTTGTGGTTGAGTCTATGGCTGCCTGGTCCTCCCAGGTGGATTTCTCTGGACTAAGAGCTGGTTGCTGAGAACACACACACACACACACACACACACACACACACACACTCACACACACACAAACACACACACAAAACACACACACACACACACACACACACACACACACACACACACACACACACACACACACACACAAAAAAGGATTCAACGTTTCTTTCTTTGGCTCAAGCTAAGGTTCTTCACACAACAGATCATTAGAAACGAAAGCCACCAAGTGTGGAATTTGAGAGGTACAAATACGTTTATTTGTACTCACTTGAACACACACTATATCCCGATCCACAACACTGTTCTTTGAGGAGGATAGCCCAAATATTGGGTTCATATTTGAACCAGATGTTTGCCTAAGACAGTGACACAAATTAAGCATGAACAAACCTGATATAGGTTTCATTGACACTGCAGGACATTACACGCAAAGTAAATTCACTTAATTACATATATTTCAATTGTATTTCTCAGATCATCCCACCCCCTGCCTACATTCACTACATTTTAACCAAAATAAATAAACATAAACATACCTGGACAAACTTGTGGGGATTGATGCATCGCTTCCTTTGGAGACCCTGCTATTATTGTAGTCATCATCATCATCCTTTTCTGGGATAGAGAAAGGTACTATGGGAACTCTTGCTGGCTACAAAGCAAAAATGTAAGAGCAGAACTTGGGATCCTCAAAGACCTTTTGGTAATGGGTAACACGGAACAGTTTCAAGTGAAAAAACAAACAAACAAACAAACAAACCCCACAGACCATTCCAACTGCTCTCTTGCGCTGAGATCCTGTCCTCCAGCCTGGTAGTTGGTCATCTGGTGCTCCACCAAGGGAGTCCCTCCTGAAGGACAGAGAACAAAAAATGTCAGATGTTCCCCCTTAGAAAAAGCCTTCTGGGAGGTTGAGAACCACTTTATTCTTACCCCGAACTAAAAATACTTGAGAGCTGCAAGTCACCTGTCCCATCTGACGTTCTGCTTACTTTTTGTAACTCTGAGCCTTTTTTGACAGAGTCCTGTGCATCACTGTTTGGTACTGACAGAAAGAAAACAAAATATTTAGAAGAGAAAAGCATGATTGGGAAAAGGGCATTATTACATTTGAGCTCTATTGTGACTTTCTACTGCTAGACAGTCAAGTCAAACAGCAACATGTATATAATGACACAAGATAAACATGAATGCTCACCTGGTAAATTTTCCTTATCCTCTGAACTCCATAGTTGTGCTTTTCCATTCTGAATTCTTCGCAAAGCAGCCTCCAGCTGTTCTTTCGGTTGGGCACCCACCTGAACAGCATTCTGCAATATGTAGATGCCTCTCTTTGCGTTGCCTGGTAAAGTGTTAGAGATTCAATTAAATATTCTACATAGCATTTCTTGAGAACTGGCACATGTTTTGAAGGACAAACATCACATGTCTACCTTGAGAAATCTCAAACTGTGCATGTGCAATGTGGACAAATGCAAAATTCTGGCTGTGGGACCTTGCCACGTTGAAGTTAGGCTCTGCCTCACTGACATCTTGAATTCTAATAGAAAAATAAATAAATAAATGACTCAGTGAATGCACAGATGAAAATATAATTAAACCAAGAACAGGATTTCTACTCACGCTTTCAGCTCTGCAAATCTGACCAACATCCTTGCGTAGCTCTCATTATGACAGTGTTTTCCCAGTGGCATATTGGAGAACACCCTGGTATAAAAGTCAATGAGCCTGGTGAGGTGATTACTATCCAAGTGAGGGTCTCCTTTTTTCTCCAAGTCCATCAAATATGAAAGACATGATTCGGGTGAGTTTGAGCCAATGACCTGGTTAATATTGTCTGTGTCATCTGTAACAAGCACAAAGTGTCACAGTTATGCACGGCAATGCAGACATCTGGCATACATGACTACTTGTTAATCCTTTGTTACCTTCATTGAGATACTTTTTAATTTTGTTAAGCTTTTGATAAAGCATGGCAAGTTTCTGCTTTCTGTCTGTGTGCTCCTCTTCCTCCATCTGAAATGATGAGTTCAGTCAACACAAATAACAAATGAGCCCAAATGAATATAAGCATTTTGCTTGAATAACAAGAACACAAAATCCAGCACAGAAAATGCAATTTAATGTTAATATGACGCGTTTATTAACAGTTATTAATAATGGGGAGCTAGGACTGCAGACATTTAAAAAGAAATCCAGAGCTGTTGTTAAAGGAGTAACCAACACTGAGACAATTCTCAGTATTTAATTAACATTAAGTTACCAGTTTTGTGTGATTTCTCATTCTAAGGTGAGGAATACCTAGAAGGTACTATATGCTGACTTGGTGAGCAGCAAGAAATAACCTAGATAACAAGTTGAAGACAAGTTACTGAACAAATGCTTTCCTTATAAACCTGGATAGCTTCGTGTTTACAATCGGGGCTAGCTCATTTTCCGGCTAGGTAGCATGTAGCAATTTTGCTCAAGATAACTTGCTCATCAAATCTCCCCACTGTGCCGAAGACTCGCGCACTCAAGTGAAGTTAAACACGCATTAGAACACTTTAAAAAACATGACGTTAAAGTGCAGTAAAGCGAAAACCATCTCACCGTGTTTAGGCCTGCCACAAAAAAGTCTCTTGCGACGGGAATTACAGCACAATACACGGAGAAAAAGGCTCGACTTCAACTGCCAGATTTCAAATATGCCACTTCCGTTGGCGTTGTGTATTGATTGGGTCTTTGTGATGACGTCACGATGCGTTCAGTTTACAAACAAGCAAGACGACAATAATAAAGGATGAATATAAGGGAGACGCGTGTCTCTCTAAACGTTTTTGAGAAGTATCTATAGATATTTACCAGCGCGTTGTAATTTTTAGAAATACTTCTAGTTTGTATTTTGAACGTGTATAAATTGAAATATGCAAATATTTTTCAAGAAGGGGCTCAGAGCCGATGTCTGATGTAATCTTGCTGTCCTCATACGTGTCCTGTATCACCCTCAAATACTTGTCTACCACTTTTGACTTCCTCATGCAATACCACAGTTCCTTTCTTGGCACCCTATGATGCTGTATATGCTTTCTGTAGCTCCACAAAGACACTGACCTTCTCTATATGTGACCATCAACTCTCTCAAAGCCAGCATAAAATCTGTAGTGCAGGTTCTTCGCCATAAAGCCATACAGTGCATGTCTTCTCCATTCTCTCCTGTATTACATACTCTCCCTTTTTTTCCCAACAGCACTTGAATACAGCACAATCACGCTTCCTGTGTTTCTGCTCCTCCCAGTTCAAAGATGGCAGCCATGGGACAGAGACGAGAGACGACACAAATTTAGGACTTTTGTCATGAAACAAAACTGGGTTGCGGAGCTGATACCGCTATTGTTTTGACATAACAGTGAATTAAACTGTCACCGCCAATGTGTCGTCGTAGGAATAGTTTAAAAGGGTTCAGAAATATGTTTTCCTGTGGGCTAAGCTAGCAAGCAGAGGTTAGCAAATAAATGAACTTGTCTCTTCTGCCACACAAGAAGGAAGCAGTTGCCTTTCATACAGTCTATTGGCATCTTATAAGGTGAGTTTGTATCTTTTTTATGATTGTAGAGACGCATATTTTATTAGTAGGTACAGCTCGGTTGTTTTCATGAGTAAAGAACTTGCATTGTTAACGTTAGCCTTAAGCTCGGTCTTATTCTATGGTGAATAAATACGGGTTCGTATTTCAGTGAGGTGCTCGTGGCACGGCTCTCGAGATTAAGCGTTTATAAACGCTTACAGATTTTGTTTTCGCGCAGTCCTGTGTAAATATTCGTCTGCTTTGCTGCAAGTGGAGCATACAAGTCATGTCCGTACTTGCAAAATCAGATGCAGAAATCTTTCCTTTTCTTTCCCACCAGCTCAATTTCATCATGGCCATCTCTCAGTTCCGTCTTTTTAAGATCTGCACATGCCTAGCCAGCTTTCTTTCTTTCTTTAAAAGGTTAATATGCAGGTAAGCACAAATGCATTGTCCATTACAGCATGTATGAGACATTTATCTTTACACTACTACGATATTTTTGAAAATAAAATAGGAGATATGGATTTAAAAAATATTGTTCTAGCTTTATGAAACTCACAGCAACTCACAGCATTTACCACGATTTTTGCATGCATCAGCACCACAACTAGAGATCCTTTTTTGTGCATGTGCTGGATGCAAGGTTGTCACAATGCACAGTAAAGAGATTTGATTGTGGTGTTCTGTAATGTGCAGTTTCTGCTTTTTATAATAATGGAGAGTTTAATTTCATTGTGTAACACAGGACTGGAAGGGGCCGCAAACTCAGTGGTGATCAAATAACTCTCCCAACAACAGTGGATTTTTCATCATCTGTACCAAAACAGGCATGTACTGCAGCAGTCATCAGCAACTGCTTTGAGAAGAGGCTGCCATACAGGAGACACAATTTTCTTGTTTTCATAAACAAATAACTTTCAGGCACTATTGTGTTTTTATTAGTTTATTTTTGTCTGCACAGCCAGAGATTGAGGAATGGAGCTCTTGGGATGAAGAGGCTCCTACAAGTATTAAGATTGAAGGTGGCAACGGCAATGTCTCCCCTCCACCCAACGATGTAGATGAAGAGCCGGACTACTTCAAAGACATGGCTCCCACCATCAGAAAAACACAGAAGGTATGTCTGCAACAAGTCAAAGCAGTTTGTGCCGTGTCTATGAAAGTGTATAACCCCTTTAAATTTGTCTTTTATTAAGTAAACTTCACCTGTGAGGCTCAGCTCCTTAATTGTGGTGAACTTTGACAATGTTTGCTGAGTATACACAATTATACCAGTGTAAATATGACAGAAAATAAGGTGAAGTGTAATAGGGCCACTCTATGTCATGGAATTTATAGTTTGTTTATGTGGTTGGCTTTTTTTAACTGAAGAGTCGTAGGTGTCATTACAATGTCAGAGATGGAAAAGCGGTTATTTTTGTAAATGAGGAAAAACTGTAATAGCAAAAAAAAGAAGAAGCCGTGACTATTGTGTTTGACTTAAGCAAACATGATACAAAATACAATGAAGATGCGGAAAAAAGTTGCTGCTTCAAAGGGAAAGGCTACTATTTGTTTTCCAACTGTTTTAAATGGATCCATGCCACAGAAAATTCTAAGAATAATATTATAACTGTAGCTGGTGTCAGGCTACTTACGAGGGGCTGTTAATAAAATGTATATTCTATTAGAAACTTAAGAGTAGCATCTAGAAGTAATTTGCACAAACAGTGTCGATCTTAGTCTTTGTTTTTTACTCAGTTTAGAAATGGGCAGATGTAAAACAAGAGACACGCAGTGCAGAGTTTCATTTATGTATTCCATTGCAATATTAAAACTTTAGCTTTGATTTCCTGTAATAACAAGAAATGGCATCTAATATATAACTCTATTTGTTTGTTTTTAGCAAATTCTTAACTGTTGTCTAAACCAAGAAGCATGACATAAATATTCTGTAGGCATCCAGATACAGTAAAGAGTAAAGGTTTTGCTATTAATGCTTTGAATGCGATTAAATGTTTCTTGTGATCCAAACCCATGGCTTTTGATTGAAACGTCTTCTTTTGATACATAGCCTGATAACTCCTGCAGCCACTGATTAGAAGTTGTTTGAGTGCAGAAGTAAAGTGCTTTTAAAATGTTGGGTTTGTCATTTCTAGACATACAATTTTTGTAGTGTAACAGTGTGATTGCTTGAAAATCTCCCATTCTCAGCTTGTCCTTCCTATTAATAGTTGAGCAGCGATTCAACATTAACTCCTTTTACTTTGACTCTAAGCTCCTCTTCTTTTTTTCTGGTTTTCATATTGAAGATTGTGTTGAAGAAAAGGGAACCTTTGAACTATCTGGTGCCTGATGGCTCAGCAGGCTTCTCCAGCAGGTTGGCAGCCTCTCAGGATATGATGACTTTCATTCCCCCCTCAGTAAGTTACACTATTGTTGGAAGACTGTTTATGTTTTACACTCTGTATGCTAATAATTTTATAATTATGCAGGAGAAGTTGTTGGCCATCAAAGGAAAGCAAAACTTGTTTTATCAGTAAATAGGCTTGTGAAAAAAATTATTAAAGCTGCAGGACTTGAATCTTAGAAAACCCAAATGTCAGAATGACTCAGTAAGCCTTCAAAAGAATGCACCAATCCCCTTCTCTTATTCCACTGGTTCAGTAAATTTTGATGCAGTTTGCAATACTCTTGTGTGAACTGACGTTTATGATGTATTAGACATCAAAGGCTCCCAACTAAAATGTTATCATAGTGTTATCTCTGTATATAAGACTGCAAACTGTCAATTTCCACAGGCTGAACTGGGTGAAATGGACACCTGGCAGGAGGACACAAATGCCTGGGAGGATGAGTCTGATGCTGCCTGGGAGGCAGAGGAGGTGCTCAGGTAAATGGGTCAAGAGTTCATCTGCTTCTATATACAGCAAATACCAGTTTGCTACCTTAACTAACCAGTTATGACACAACAACAGGAACAAGGAGTGTTTTTTATGTTATTAACCATGTTAAGATACAATTCCAACACATTGTCATTGAACCCAGATTTGATTGCAGTAAAGACTGAGGAATGCACAACAACAGGTTTTTTTTTTTTTTATAACTTTTTATTTGTCAGTTTACAGTATGAGAATACAAAACTTACGGTCAGCATAGGAGACATACACAATTCCAGTAATAGCATCTTCTTACATCATGGTAATATTCAATTATTCAGTACAAAGGGAGTACACAACCCATTTTTCCCAGAGCTTCTTGAATTTCTCAAGCTCGAGTCTAAGGGCAAAGGTAAGTCTTTCCATTCCAAAAATTTCTTCCACTACCCCACGCCATTGGGCCCTAGTTGGAGGGTCTGCCTTTTGCCATCTTCGGGTTATGGCCTTCCTGCAGCCAGCCAAAAGTATTTTCAATAAATAATTATCTTTATGTGGGAGTGCCATAGGCAATTTGCCAAGATACAACGTATCAAATGAATAGACTATTTTAATCCCAATTATTTTGTATATCTCAAGGGCCACCTCCCCCCAATATGACTGGATCCTTGGGCAGGCCCAGAAGACATGAAAATGGTTCACCATGGGGGTTCCACAACCTCTCCAACATAGGCCCCGGCTCTGTGAGCCTGTTTGCCGAGCTGTGAGTTTAGGAGTGATAAAGAATCTCACTACATTCTTCCAACCAAACTCTCTTAAGGACCTTGAATTTGCAGTGGTAGCCTGAGACTCACATATTCCCCACCAGCTGTCCTCTGAAATTAGTGAGCCTGATTCCCTCTCCCATTTCTGCTTAATGTACACCGTAGAGTGATTTTTAGAGGCTTGTATACTACCGTATATTTTTGAGACCATCTTTTTAGAGTCCTTTCTCTTGTATGCCTCTTGGAAGATATGAATTAGGTCGTATTCGTTTTCATCTCTGATTAGTAACGTCTTGTTGTAATAGTCTCTAACCTGCAAGTATCTAAAGAAGTCATGCTTTGCCAGTCCGTATGTATCTGAGATGGTTTCATAGCTTTGGAATCCCCCATTTGTTGCTAGTGAACAAAAAGAAGTAATTCCTCTCAGAGACCACTGTTTAAAGGTCCCATCCAGCCTGGCAGGCACAAACTCCGGGTCATAAGCTATCCAATTCAAGGTCCTAGCCTGTTTTTCTATTTGTAGTTTCCCCACTACCCTGAACCATAGTTTCAGGGTGAACCGGGTCAAATGGTTCAAATCTTTAGTAAAATTTTTCAGCTTGGTTCTTATTTCCTAAAAGTGACTGTAGTGGGAAGTCTAATTGTGTAATTTCCATATTTTTCCATTTAGCTTCATAGTTTGGGGAGCACCAGTTTACCAGGGGCTTCAGTTGTGCGGCGTAGTAGTAATCTTGTAAGCACGGCAAAGCTCTCCCTCCCTTCTCTTTACAACAACAGGTTTCATGGCCACATACAACAATCTGTCTGTATTTACACAGAAAAACATTTTTTACAACACAACACAGTTGTAAAAGATTATTATTCACAATCCTTGTGCTAATGCACACCAGGTTATAGTTGGATTTCTTAGCTGTCATCTAAATGACCCCAAGTAGATGCCTCCTGTGAAATGCTGTTTTTTATTTTTTATTTTATTTTTAATTGTAATTTTTTGCAGACTAGGGGGGAAATTATGTTAAACAAGAGAGTGATCAAACCTTTTATTATGCAAACACATGGGTTCCTTGCATCTCTTCCTCACACCTCCTACCAGTGAGGACAGAGGTGTCTAAACTGAAAAATAAGAAATCTTTGCTTCCAGTCTTACAACAGAATTTCTTAATCTTGGTGTAAAAAACATAGATTGTTAACATAGCTGGTTATTAGCAGTTAATTCATATTTAGTTCCTCTAGTTTCCTTTAGCTTATCCTCTATTACAGGGGTCTCAAACTCGCGGCCCGGGGACCACTTGCGGCACACATCACCGGTGTTTGCGGCCCTTAGAAATATAATACAGTTTGGTCCTTGAAGTTACTTTTTTTGTTGGGGAGTATTTATTTGTTGCTGAGTGCAATGTTAAAATAAGTTCTTTTATAAGCAGAAAATTATCTAATATGAAGGCAATATGGGCAGAGAGTACAAACATATGTTAGTTCAGTAAGAGAGTTATTTGTAAAGAGAAAAATTTTCGCTAGCAGTCAAAAACTAATGTGTACACTTATGCCTGCATTTTTATTTTGTTAAATATGAATAAAATTATAGCAGAAGACCTTTCACGCGTGTGGCCAGAGAGAGAGTACCAGAGTACCATTATGTGGTAGTTCAATGAATGGCTTCAGTTAGTTAAGAGTGAGGAAAAAGAATTGCGTTCACGTTTGCAATTTTGTCTTGTTATACAATATATTAAAAGGAGAAAAAAAAACCCCACTGTATTTTCAGAAATAATTTTGGGTGTTTTCTTGTTTGTTTGGGGTTTTTTGTACTACTTGAACACTAAAGTGGATTGCCAATGAGATGACAGTGCCAGCAGTGGCCCACAGCTCATATAAGTTTGACACCCCTGCTCTAATAGATGGTGTTATTTGTTCAGATTAAAAAAACAAACAACAACATAGCTCTATAAAAGTATTTTAATTTTTCATTTGTTTTTATCTCACACAACTCAAAGAAGTCTCGTGAGCCCATTATGCTCGCCGTCTCTTGTCCTCGTGAACGGCACTGCACGTCAACAGTGGTCTCGCATCCGCTGCCGAAAGCTGCACTTTGGCATTTCGGTTGTTTGTGCACCTCACGTCTTTGTAGTTAGAACACGAGTGTACAATGTTGGGTTTTTTTGTTTTGTTCTTTTGGGAGGGGCAGGGGGTTATTGTTGTTAGTTAGTTTTTTGTTTTTGTACTGCTATTTGATGATCACTACAGATGTTCAGGTATTCACAGATTATACAGATACAGATGACTTTGTGGGAAACCCCAAACAAAAAAAACTACTTCTTTGCTTCTGGTTTTGACTTCTCTTCCTATGCTTGCACTGATGTGGAAGATTTGTCTGAGTGATGACCTATCATTGAGTAGAATACGCCAGCCGGTACTCGCACCCTCAGTGCTGGTATAAAATGATACCGAACTGTGGCGACATCACTGTTTGCACACAACATCAATACAGCGAGAATAATGGGCCCATTATATTTCTTCTTGCAGTCATCACTTTTCTAAATGTGTATGTTCATTTCATGGCCACCAGATGGCAGTGTTTGATAATACTTTGTCAGCAGTGGCACAAAAAGCAGGGTTTTGTTTTCCCCCATTCTCAGCTGACCTAGCTTTTGGTGACATGCTTTGGTGTGACATCACTTCCTGTCACCTATTATTTTTATTTTTATTTTATTTTTATTTTTTATACTATAATTTTGTGTTTTGCTTTTGTTTTTTAAACAGACAACAGAAGATGGCTGAGAGAGAGAAGCGCTTCATGGAGCAGCAGAGGAAAAAGATGGAGAAAGAAGCTCAGAGAATGATGAAGAAGGAGCAGAAAATTGCCGTCAAGCTCTCATAACATTTTAAAGAGGCTCACTTTTGAGGAACAGGAATTGGGGGTGGGGGAGGGGCAAAGATGCTAGCTCTGTCTTTAAAGTCACCAAACCTACCAGGATTCTTACTGTACACTACTCACATGTTAGCAGATTGTCCTCCTCCTTTTTTCCACCAGCAGCATTTTAGTGTGTTTTCCATCTGCAGCGGCATAAAACATGGCAATGTTGAGGGCAGCGGGTATTCTCACTCTTCATGTGGCAGGGTCATTTTGGTCTTTAAGGGAGATTTTGTTTATACCATCCAGATCATTTTAGGTTAAAGGTCAGAAGTAGCTTTCTGAGATTATGATTAAATCTGCTGGAAAATCTTCCATTTTGGATTTTCCAGGAACATTTGTAAATAAACCGGTACTTGTACTACCTGTTGAAACATACACAGGGAGTACATTTCTCTCTTTTTTTGTAATTTTTACAACCTCAAAAGGCAAGGACGTCTAATTTATTTTATGCATCATTGAATACCAGTGAAATCCCTTGGTTTGCTTGATTTTTTATTTTTTTTTTAAATATTTATGTCTTTGTCTGACAACTGATCTGTTCGCTGTTTCTTTTCTTTTCTTTTTTTTTTTTTAATGAATGATGCTTTTATATTTCACATTATCTCCCTGTGCTGTATGGCCCTTATTTCGCTGGAAATCTGCATTAAAATGAAGGCTGGAAATTTTCAAAGTGCGTGTGGATACATGATGGTAGACTAGAACGTAGCCAATGCAGATGTTAGCTGTGGGTTCCCATGGTAATCTCACTGCATCTCTCTGCCATTCACTCATTTTTGTCAGCCCTTAATATTGAAGGAGAATTTCCAGTGATCGAGGCGTCTTTTTTTCCCCCCTTTTATCTTGGGGGAGGAAATCTTGCTCTGCTGTTAAATAGTTGATGAATTGTCTGCAGAGACCCAGTACTTAAAATACATGGGTCATCATCACAATGGACACTCATACAGTAATCTTGGCAAATAATGGGCTGATGGATAAACGTTTCCTAGCACATCATTTTAAGTAAGTGCTTCTGACTGAGCATCTTGTAATGCGTCATTGTAATGAAATTCCCAGTCAGTGTTGTCATGGAAACGTTGGCAAGTGCAGATACAGCATGTGTTCATCCATGACTTGTGATAAATGGTGCAAAGCAAGTCAAAGAAGACATATCTGGGTTAATATTATTCAATGATTTACTGACAAAATTTCTGTTAAAATTTCAATGATAAAATGAATATGAAAATAATTCGAGCATGAATAGATTCAAGAATGAAATTAAAAGCAGGTGTGGATTTATTTTCTTTGGAAATGCCCTTTCCCCGTTATTTTCACTGACAAAGGCTGCATGTCATGTTTTCCTTTTTAAATTTTGCACGTCGTGATTTTTTTTCAGAAATTAATCATTAAAATCCTGTTTTCACACATGCTTAATGGTAAAAATAGCAGTGATTGAGCACAACATAGGACTAATATAAAGTAATGAGTCCAGAGTTGACAAATTGTATCTCTGCTGTATTAGACCTACACAGGTTTTTAATAAATTTTGATTCATACCTTCAACTGAAGACAATCTGGCTACGCCTGATATGTAAATAGTAAAATAACTCCAGCAACCATTGTGGGAAAGGTAATAATTTTTCATGAATACAACCTTTATGTTCAGGCTTTTTCACTGTCTATGAGTGTTTTTTAGGTGTCGGCCACCTGGCAAACAACTTGTTTCTACAGTGAAATAAAACTCTATTGGAAAGAGCTCTGTAAAATGTTACCATCAGTGATGGTCCCCAGAGGATGAACCTTACCAATATCTCACCCTGGTTTTTATTGAAATTTGTCAAGCTATTGGTGGAATTGCCATTACATTCCCGCAAAACAGAAATATGTATAGACTCTTCCCTTGACATCATCATGTTAAAATAAAATTGACCTAGAACTTTCTATTTTTTAATCTCCTACCTGCAAACCAGCCTCATGAAAAATGCTGCAAACTACAGAAGTGAATAAGGGGAGAAAATGCGACAAAACCTTGATGGAGTGACACAAACTTAAAGATTGTGTTAACGATTGCACTTAGTTGGAGATTATGTATCGGAATTTCAGGAGCAGGACCACGCCTCCAAACACTCGTTCTGGTTGTCATCTATATAGGTTCCCCCAGTTCTGCAAGCTGTTCATTCTCGTTTACGTGCCCCACCCTCCTTGTTCTCAATTCTTTAACTTCTTCACTTCTATTTAGTGCATGGAGATCTGCCAGGCCCGGGAGCCGTTGCTAGTCCCCTTCGAGGCCTTCCCCAAACCGCAGCTCAATTCATGTCAAAGCATTCATTTTTACCTACTAAAACGCTGTCAAACCTAAAATGAGGACATGGGCCCAGCTATTGAAATAAAGAAGTGGAGAATTTATTGTATCATCGTACTTTCTCAAGGCCATAAATGTTAGCAATGTGGCTAATAGGCTTACATGTAGGATGGTTACCATGTTGTAAAGCATTTCTTTTCATGATCAATCATTTACGCATTAGAGTCAAGCGTCAGCATGCATGAAGATTCCAGTATCAAAACACAGTCTGATGCTAAACTGGCCTGTAGAAGGTACTGACAGACTATTGTCATCACACATCTGACCTCCATCATAATGATGTCAGTCCCATCTACCTGGGGACTCTGCCGGCCTGCCTGCCAAACCTCTCAGAGACTGACCCACTTTCAGAAAGGGAAAGTGCATGTCATCAGTCTTCAGAAAGGGGATAAGCTAAGTGGGTGCAGTCACATCCAGTGTTCTTTAAAAAAAAAAAAAAAAACACAACTGGTGTGCACTCATGCTCAAACCAATGCTTGCCCACTCATTTAATCTAGCATCCCTACACTGATGTGGGGATTACAGCATCTGATGATTCAGATGCCTTATGAACCGAGGAGTCATGGTTATGCAATGTCAACATAGCATTTCTCCTTACAGCTGGAGCGGAAATGGACCCATTGTAGCAAAGATGCAAGTGTTAGCTCATGTAGATTTAATCAGCTTTTTGCTTTAATTTTCACTGAATGTGATGGGTATTATGCAATCACTAAAGGCTTATGTGGGCAGACTCAGCTGCACTGACCCAGTTTTTACTGGTGTAAGGGCAGGTTTAACAGCTTCTGAGAGATCCCAGTAAAGTGGATCTAATGCACTCCACAGTCAGAACCACAACCCAGGGGACATCTGTAGACAGGTCGAGAAAGCTTTTACGTAAGATGAGCCATCACGAGAGCATGTTGCTTGCTGGAACTTGGGTTCTGATGAGATACCCCACCCCCGTTTATTTATTTATGGGAAGAAAAAAAAAAAACAAAAAAAACCAAATAAACAAAACACTACAACATAGCCAGAATTATCATGCTTTAATAATAAAGATGCAAGGACATTGATGTTACTACCAGTATTGCACATTGCTCAGGCACATTACAAGTGTCAGTTGCTTTGAAGCATTAGCTTCTATGAACAATACACAGGCAGTACCAAGTAAAGCTCTACACCCAGAATGAGGGGAGGAAAAATAAAAAAAATAAAATAAAACTTCACAAAACGGTGAACTTGCATTAAAGCTTTGGCTGAAGGTTTAAGGTTACTTTATGAAGAAAGGAAACATTCCAGAACCCACCACCCATCAAACAGAAAGCAGCAGTCAGTCTTTCACCTCCTGAAAATCTCTTAACACAAAGAACTTTTGCTTTAAACAGCTAGGGGCACCACAGGACTATGATAACACACAACCATCTACCCAGATGATCTGCTTATACATGTAAATCATAAATAAATACATAAATAAACTTTGTTATAAATAATCCCTTCCATGTCACCTCTTGGTAACTACAGTGCAAAAAAATAACAGTGCTCAAACCAAAATGACTGCATTGATATCAAGTGTTCAACGATGTCACAAATACTCTTGGAAAGATGCTTAAGTGCTTTAGTTCAAGGTCAGGGGTTTTGCATGCGGATTGGAAGCCATTACGCATCAGGCCTATGAGTGATGTGACGAAGAGAGTGCAATCCCATGATGCAGCAGCCCCTAATCAGGGCAGCAATGTTGTACACCGGAGTGCTTCCGTCCAAGCCATGCCGTGAGTACAGCCAAGCCACTGTAGGCAATACTGGTGCCGCTACTGCCACCAGATCCACGAGGAAGCTGTTGCTCCAGTAACGCTTGCCGACCACATCCAGTCCTGATGACAGATGAGAATCCTCCTCGCCGACAGTAAAGTCCAGCTCCTCCATGAATCGTCTGTTCTCGGAAGGCTCTGAGCAACATGTGCCGGAATCGGCGGAGGTGTCGGGGCTCTCTGGAAATGTGCTGGGTTGGGAAGGTGTTGAGTCAGGCTGTTTGGTGGTGGTGCAAATGGAGCCAGGTAGGTTTGGGAACCCTAGAAGACTAACTGGGGCTGATAGAGCTGTATCTCCTGCTGCAACCCCATGGAACTTTAGAAGCTGAAAGAGCAGAGCCTGCAGGTCTGGAGGCATGGGCATGATGTCGGCCTGGACTTCTTTGTCCTGATGTGGAAGTGTGCCTGAGGTGGCAACCATATCTGGTAGAGTGGGCTGGGTTCCAGTGGATGAATCTGTTGACTGTCTCTCTCCTGACAGCGCAGACACTCTGGGCCCAGACTCTGCACTGGCCCTCAGCTTGCTGCTACAGTCCTGACTGAAGTCCATTGCAGTGGACATGAAGACCTTCTCCAAAATGTCCGCTCTGTTCGCCATCTCATCATTTGCCAGCAGCCCGCTGTCTGCCATTGCCTCTGCTCCTTGGTATCCCAGCTCCATTGCACCTTCCTCATCCACCACCATCTTCTTCCCGCTGCCATCAGAGCTGTCGTAGATAAAGTCCAGGGTGTTTTCATCTTGGAGGTTGGCACCACTCTGGGCGAGCTCCATGCTTTGCAGCAGGGACTCCAACTTCCTGTTTTGGATGTTGATGTCAATGAAGTATTTCTGAATTCCTTTATCTTTTTCCATCAGACTGCTCTTCATGGTTTCCACCACCTGACGCAGCTGCTTGATCTCTTTGCGTGCTTCTTTGAGGGACAGCTGAGCCTCCACCCGGTGGCACTCCTCTTCAATCCAGTCCTCCCTCATTCTGCTAAGCTGGGCTTTAAGCTCCTCAATCTCTGTCTCTCTAATAAAGAGGGAGGAAAACATCCAAGTAACTTAAAGGAACAGTTTTTGAATACACACTTGTGAACTTTACCATGTAATTTGTAAAGTTTGGGAAAAAAAGCCACTTATATGCCAAGTCTGAAGCTATACATAGTTTAGCTAAAGACTGGATGTTCTGGGGGATGGCTGTGACAACCCACTGTGTGTGGGTTTAGGTGGCTAGACATTTACTGTTAGAAGAGAGAAATACACTATATGGACAGAAGTCCTAGGCCACTTACAAATGCCGGGAGGTTTGTTTTTTTTTTAAAAATAAAAAAAAAAATAAAAAAATACTGCACTTATTGAGTTTGTAACTTTGTGTTTTCTGCCACTTTAATACAAATGTCTGTGAAGGCTCATGGCCTGAATTCAAAGGGGGGAGTGAATAACTATTCAGTTTGAAATGTATGAAAGTATGTACAGTTACACATTTATGTAAAAGAAATTAATCAAATAGGAGGTCATTAGTTTGCAATATTACCCTGACCTAAAATTACTGCT